GGTAACAGCAGGAGAATACAAAGTCAGTTCTTAAATTTACAAAAGCTGATCACGGATTAGGACTTCAATATTCTCTAGATGGACAAAGAAATAGACGCAATCAATCAGCTTAATCATCTAGCAAAAATTGGATGTAGAGAAAGATTAGGAATCACACTCACCTCGAATAAGAGTAAATCTACTATGGTTTGGCCATACAGTTCAACAAGAGCCTTGCATTGCTGGCTAACAACACCAGCGGCTCCAATAGCTTGATTTATCATGGAAATCGGAGTCTGCATACAACAATTAAGTATATGAATGACAACAGCACCAAGTGTGCATATGAGATCCGATGTTATTTCGTTTTACATATGGTATGTCTCGAAATTTCTTATTTCTCTTTCTACTTGCTAAGACACCAAATTCAAGTGTCTTAGAAACTACCAGCTGAAGGACCAACAATTTATTATGAAGCAAAAAAAAGACATGCATAGACCAAGGTCAAGATCTTTACACCTGCTGTAAGCAAGTCTATTTATTCCAGGGCAAAAGGTGCAGGGAGAGAAACTTATCTACATTTTTAACTGCTAAAATGTAGAAATCCTTCTACCAACACTCGATACAAGAACTCTCATATAACTACAATATATTCCGACTTAGTCAGAACCAAAAATCAACCATCCAAAATCGCATTGAAATAAAAAAAAAAACTGAACAATGGAAAATCTGAATAGAAAAATAAGACTTGATGCGTTTGTGCTTACCGTAGGACCTGCTATCAAAGAAGTTCCAGAATCTGCAATTGCTGAACATCCACTCGCACAATATCCTGATAGCAGGAGACAATGAATTATATCCCCACAATAACAGCATCTAAAACTACATTGTTTTCATCTCTTTTGAACTAAAAATCCAAACTAGAAACAAAATTTTGTTTCATTTTCTATCTCAGTCCTAAAATTTATAGACATAACAAGGTTACTTACCAGTTGCTTTACCACCAATGAGAACATCACCCATGTCAAACTACCACATAGAAAAAAAAGTCAAAATCAAAAAGTAACTGAAGAATATATTCAAAGCACCTTTTTATATCAAAAGAAATATTATTAAGAAAGAGAAATGAGAAAACACAAGTAGAGAGGATAAGATATCCTCAGAAAAGCTTCAACAATAGAGCAGGAGCAAAAGAAAACCAAAAGGAAAGAAAACCTAAATGCACAAAGCATCCCAATTCTTTTGTGATAAGGACAGGGAGATATCCCTAAAGCACCTGTATGCCTTCTCCTCCTTTTTGACAAAGAATGCCAAGAGACATTGTTTAGCACCAAAAAAAGGGAGGTAATTCGATTACCAACCTGCCAATAACCTTTCTGTGTTATAGGAACATATGTGTGCTTGCCCTTGTAGTGATTTGGATCAACTCCCCCAAATACAATTTGACCTCCTTCTTCTTCCGCTGGATTGCGGTTTAACCAAAATGAAAATACCGGGTCCTTGATAAGACCTTGGTTAATCATGTTGTACCTGTCAGAGAGAAATGTTCATCGCAGACATATCATGAAACTTTAGCAGATACCAATCATAATTTAAAGATGCAAATCATACCAGACTGGAGTTGCATTCCCAACTGAAATCTCTTGGAACCCAAGTCCAAGAATACCATCAAACTTTGCCACCAAGAATGTAATACTAGGCTCCCTAGTTGCTTCAATAAATTCCTGAACCAAAAAAGGCTATAACTAAGCGAATGAATCATTCGAGAGTAAAGCAGAGAGAACACGTTAATTTACCTGATTGTTCACAACAAGATCACCAACTTTGACATTGTCATAACTAAAGAACCCAGATATACTTCCAGTACCATAACGAATTGCAGCAGGCTTTCCTGGATGTGGAAGTTATAAAATATGATACCTCATGATTCCCAAATTATTGTTTCTAAAAATGACCACATGTTTTAGAATAAATGTTACAGGAAAGACATATCATGCACCAATGTGAGAATTCAGGCACCTACCATAAAAGCAGTATTCAGTCAAGTACGTTTCATGATAGTCACATCAAAAACTTGCAATTTCACTAAATGGAATGTAATTAAAAAATTAGCTGAAAATGAAACTCTCATATAGCATAATTAACTAGCAAAAAATATGCAATAAAGGTAGCAGGTGGCATAAACTACAGAAACAGCATTCACAAAGTTATACTAAAACCATGACTACTCAAAGCCAAGATAATTCAAAACCATCACGAGTTTGGAAAGAGAACAAACCATTCTTCTTGTATGTAGCTGACTGGCTTGACTTGTACTTAGCATGGAAGAAGCATGCAACCTAAATCCCAACAAAAAATAGAGCATTTTCTTCAGATGAACCAGTTTCGGATAAATTTGGCATACATTAAAAATACACACATGTGAACGCTTACCGAAAAATAACATTTGGCTGATGGCACCCAGAGGTTAGAGCTTCCAGTGTCAAAAATCACGGTGAATTTCTGGGGAGGAGTACCAATGGCAACCTCACCATAGTACTGAGCATCCAAGTAGTTTTTGAGTGCAACGATATCAACATCTCCCTCATCCCCAAGTCCATTACGGAAACGGTATTCCTTTGCAGCCCTCAAAGCCTCTCCATCCTTAGAGCTGAGCTGGGATGCAATCCGATTGTTTGGATCCAATTTCAGCTTTTTCAGCCCAATTCTAAGCAGTCCTTGGTCATCCGCAGAACAGCCAGAAGAGAACAGCAGGGATAGCACGAACAGAGAAAACCCAAATGCTTTTAACTCGATTCCCATTTTAACCTATCTGTTCATTAAATCAGAAAACCAGAAAGAGAACCGCGTTAAGATCTTGAAAAATAATATTTAACAGGATAAAAAAATTATTCAGTACCATCCACAGTCAGAAGCAATTTCAATTATAAGGAAAAATAGAAAAGACAGATTTTTTTTTTTTTTTTCAATTTCTCAGAAAAGTAGCTATAAGAAGCCTCAACTTCCTGTACCTTTTAATCAAACAGAACCTAACCAAGACGAGCCTAATTCAACCTCTTTTCTCAGCCATATAATCTTCCTTTTTTCCATATTAACACAAAAGCAAACCGTAAGCCACACCTCTAACGTATAATATCGTATGCCTGAATTCCCAATCCTCAACTAAAACTTCATTTTCTTTCACTTCTCTTGTTTTCCACGCCAACCAAACACACATCGTAATAAGAAAGCAAAAACCGCACCAAAACCCTTAAATTCCTTCTGAAATCCCGAGTACGACAAAAATAATCTCATCAACCAAGAAAAAGAAAAACACAAAGCGAACAAACAAATCTAAACTCAAGAAAACCAGAAGAACACCAAAAAGTTTTTAGAAAACAAAATTAAGCTCCAAAAAAAAGGAATTTAGATGATCAATTCAACCAAACTAGGATTCAAGAGCATCACGATAGTCAACAAACTTACCAGAGGCGAAGATGATTTTCCTCGAAGCAAGAGAAGGATATGAAGGAGGCAAGAAAAGGGAGAAGAAGAAGAAGAAGTATTTATATCTTGGGATTTGAAAGAGATGAGAAAGCTATCTGTCACCTCGATGAAACCACCTGGGGCCCAGCTCATATCACTCACTTGGAAAGTTACTTGATTATGCCTCTTTTGATCTCCACCGTCGGATCTAAATCAGATAATTTAACTTTAACCGTCTGATTCGAATGATCACGACGTTTTCGTTTTGTGGGTCTACAATGACAAAAAGTAACTTGTTAATTTTTTTTTTAAAGGTTTAAATAATTATTTTTTATATTAAAATATAAAGGAATTATAATTTTAAAATAATAAAAAACATAAAACACTAAATTATAAAAAATATATAACAAACTTTTTTTTTTTTTTTTTTAAGGAATTTGATCGTAGCCGTTGATCCAGAAACGGACGGTGATTAAAGTGTGCAATTGGTTTCGGAGAAGACAAAGTTGGCGTGCACGGTAACGACTGTTTTATTCAATAATAATAATAATATGGAAAATTACAATTTCCCCCCTGAATTTTTATGAATTATACAAAAATCCCTCAATTTTAAAAAATAAACACAAAGCCCCCCTACGGTTAATTGGAAACATAAAGACATTGTAACCAAAGAAGAGTAAAAATAAATATTAATTTGTATTTTTAACCAATTAATTAATTTTTAAACATGTAAATTATAATATAAAAATAACCACAAATTCTTATAAATTATATTTAATACTTATTAGTTTTTTAAATAATAAATATAACTTTTAAATAAATTAATTAATAGATTTATTAAAAAAAATATGCAAATTTATTCGCACTTATATTTAATTAATATTAACGTCTTAAATAAATATATAATTGTATAAAATAGGGCGTTTTGCTTATTTTTAAAAAGTGTGGGGACTTTTTGTAAAATACGCGAAACTTTGGGGTGAAAATTATAATTTTCTCATAATAATAACTGAACTGTTTTCTTCGCGGAGACGCATGTACTTTGAGGCACCGACCGCAGCACGCGACTCGCGAGTCATTGCGGTTGCCTTCCCGGAGAAGTTTGCGGAGGAGTACGGGGGAGGGGAAAAGATCTAGGATGTATTGTTGAGGATGGGAAGAATTGGTGTGCTTGGATTTCTCACTGTCCGATTGGACGACATTAATGTTAGTTATCGTAAAACCGCATCGGAAGGTGGAGATTTATTAAACTCCTTAAATTATAATATTTTTTAAAAATTGAATTTCATATAATATTATTAAATATTTTTAGGTTATTATGATATTTAGGTAAATCTATAGTACATTCTCCGTAATTTATAATATTTTTTTAGTATATAAATATAATCAATTCGTTAAAATTTAATACAACTTGATCGCTTGAAATCTTATATAAATATTAGTAAGTTGAGTTATTTATTTTATTTAATTACATATTATGGATTAATTATTATCGGTTCGTAAATTATAAAATAAGTTTTCAAATTTTGATCCTTATTATAATATTATATTTAAAAAATTTTTAAATAATTTATTTTAAATTTAAAAAAAAAAATCAGCTTGTGTTTATACAAAATGAATTGTTTTTCGAACTTTTTTTTTAAAAACTTATGTAAAAAATTTGAGATCAAATAATAACGAAAAAAATAATATAGGTATTAAACTGTAATAAATATTAAATTTTATAAATTAATTTAATAATTTACCTTAAATACTTGTAGCTTCTTGGCTTTGTTTATGAGAAAATTAGGAAAATAATTTGCTTGTAATTAAAAAAAAAAGAATTTAAAAGATAAGAACAAAAGAAATTTTTGGCAAGAAACTTCATAATGATGAAGGTTGAAGAGGGTGGTACCCTTTTGAGTGAAGAAATAATATACCAATTTTAGGTGGCAAGAACCAAGAAAAGAATGATTTTATGCCTTTCGGTAATGTAAAATTGGAAGTCGTTTATCTAATTTTTTCCGAAAGTTTTGTAATTATATTGGTTCAAACATATTCGAAATTCGTTTCCTTTATAGATACGAATCTTTTGAATATATAAAGTTGTTTAGTTACCGCAATTAGAAATGGGATCCAAATTCTAATTTCATTAGATGTTATACCAAATTGTATTGAATTAGGTCATATTTGTTATTGTATTTTATATCATTTTGGGTTAGTTTCAAAACCGAAAGCGCAACGTCTTTAACTGTTAGGCTCGAATATTAAAGTATAGAATCTCAAATTTTAGATTATGTCGAATTCGAAAATGATTATATTTCATAAACTAATAACTGATAAGTATGGTTAAAAAAAAACACGAGGAAAATAAATTATAGCTCATTTAAAAACCCAATTCGAACTCTGTTAAAAATTAAATTTGAGTAAAACTCGACGTTAAAAACTTATTTGTTCGATAAAATAAATTAAATTCTTGATAAATATTTTTAAGAAATAAAATTCAAATATTTATAACCCATTGTTTGGACTTAATTGGGCCGGGCTCAAATCAATTACATTTTTTTACATGTAAAAAAAATAAAACTATATTTTTTTACATTGTTTGGAACCCATAATTGTTAATTGGGCTTCTTAAAATTAATGATTAGCAAATAAAAATTGCATATTATATAGTCAATGATTAAATCAATTATTTAACACTTTTTATCTACATAAGTTGTTACATTAATTTATAGGTTATGTATGTATGTATGTATGTATGTATTTCGGGCCGATTTTTAACATTGAGCTTATTTTAAATAAAGATTAGAATATAATATGAGTATGATAGAAATTTAAATAAAAATAATATTAATTTTAAGTTAATTTTTTCTCTAATTATATTTATTTGACATGTGACAATACAAATATCAAAATTGAAAAAATTAATTTGTTGATTTATCATAAAATAAATTTGAATTACCTTTTCATATTTTCCTTGGTAGACTAGAATTCTCATCTCCAAGCACATGCAATTCATGAATATACTCCTATATATATATATATATATATATATATATATATATACACACACAAGTATATATACTTTAACATGCATGTATATTGTTCTTCTTTATTTGAAAATTATTACTTTTTCTTACAAATTTTAATGCGAACATCAAATTTCTTGTGATATAAAGTTGAAAAATAATTATGACAACCTCATAAAACTCTTCACTCCTTTAGTGGCGGCTTTATATATCTTGTATGCCTTTGTCTCCATTACATCTTTATTCATACTTCATATATATACGTATATTTATACGTATATGTATACTACCACTCTCTATACTTTCTTATATATTAGCCCATTGTATATCCATGCATGGCACATTGTTTTACATGTACTTACAAAAACAAAGAGTTACTTACAAAAGGGCTTCTAATTTTACAAAAATAAAACATGCCCACGACTATATATATATATATATATATATATATATATATATACACACGCACATAGATACAAAAAGTTGTACGGTGGATAAGGTACGGTGCGTCCCACGATTTCTCGTTTTTCAGGGAAAAAAAAAAAAAAAATTCAACACATTTTCTTACGCACGCGATTGGATTAAGTAAGGAAGGTCAACTTTCCTCAAAAGTCAACAATTGTATCTGACTTGGTCCAATCAAATACTCCCACGTCAGCAATTAATTATTTTCTTTTAAAATATACCAACTACCTACTCTAGCTAAATACAACCCACTAATTAATTTTTTTTAAAAAAAAAAAAATAATTATGAAAATTTAATATTTTACATAAATAAAACAATTTATATATATATATATATACATACAGTCTTGTATATGTATGTGTGTATATATAGAAAAATAACAGTAACGTAGTGGCGGAGAAGTCATTATTGGGTCTACATTGACAGGCTCTTTTTAGTACACTGCCAATTACGTGTCAAATACTATTAGCCGTATTTCTTGACTCAATAAATTTGGAATATACCTCTAAAAATCAAATTATTTAATTATACACACACATATATATACATATATATATATATCATCAAATGCCGTGTTTTAATTTTCAATATTATTTATTTCCTTTTTTTTTTTTTTCAATTCAAAATTTGTTTTCTTGTATATGTTGGGTTTTGCTGATTCCATTTGGTAATTGTTAAATATTAGAATTATGATGATGACATTAATTTGTCATTGTTTAATAAAATACATGGTAACATAGATATATATATATATATATGTATGTATATATCTCATAGGTATAATATACATTACTGAAATTAGAAAAAGGGTTGGAGTTAAAAGACAAAAAGAAATTTTGTCTTTTTGTGTATTTACTAATTTTTTTTTTGAATTAAACTATTTAAATAAAATAGTAACAAAAGAATTAAAGCTTTGTTCTTGATTTCTCTATACCCTCTACCACAAGGACTCCCAAAAAAAAAAATAAAAAAAAAGGACATATGAACATGTAAAGTTTTCATCATCCCACTCCCGAAGAACAAAGAAATTGGACATCTAAACTACGCTAACATTAACCAGTAATAAAAAGAAAGGAGAAACAAAAGAAGGAACGAAAACTCGTATGTAACTTTTTAGTATACTGGTGATATTCATTGCGTATTACTTGTACTGATATTATTATTGTTATTGTTGTTGTTGTTGTTATTATTATTGTTGGCGGTAGTGGCAGCGATAGTAGGATGCACGTTGTTGCCATTTATAATAGAAGTGATGGCTGCAGCAAGAGCAACTGTGAAGTTGGGATCTGCTGTGATGGCAGCGGCTGTGGCAGTGACTGTGTCTGCTAGAGAATTTGGAGACTGTTGTTGTTGTTGCAGTGATGACGGGTGTATAACCGAGAGAGGAGGAGATTGGTGGGATAAGTGGGAAGAATTTCCCATTTGATGGTCTTGATTAGATAATTGAAGGCCAGAGAATTTAGATTGGTTATAAAGTGCTTGGTTGAAAACTTGAGGTGTTACTGAACCAAAGTTTTGGGGCAAATTAGGGACTTGGAATTGGGTCGGTAGTCTTTGGAATTGTAGAGGGTTAGGGTTGTTCGTTAAGTCTAATGTGATAGTAGGAAATGGTGCAGATGCTGAAATTGTTGCCATACTTGATGAGCAAGGAAGGATTGCCCTTGCCAACAAGTTCGGGTTCATTAGTCCTTCTGCACTAGACATTGACCCTGAAAGCAACATACTAGCAGCTGCTGCTGTTGTTGATGCCATTGCCATTGCTGCGGGAGGCAATGGATGATTATGGTTTCCTTCATATGTTGTTATTAATATTGAACGATCTTCAGCACATCGTTGAACCTATAAAAAAAATTATCACTACTGGTCTCAATAAAAATTATGAAATTTAACAATTAATAGGTTAGCACTTATAGTAATAAGAACAAGTTTCAATTTGATCATTTGTAGATATGTTGTCATTTAGACTCTGACGTTACTTAAAGGAGCGAGAAACGAAATCGTATGCAATTCACTTTCTGTTTAATTCATTATAATTAAATTTAAACTACTTTGATTAATTCTTTTAGAGATATTGGAGTTCAAGAAGCTAGATGTGCGTTTGGAGTCAAATTTTTTTAACTAATAGTTGTATTAATCTATTTGTCTACTAGTTAAACCTAAAGTAATATGGTTTCAAGAAAATAATTAAAGAACTTCAATTGTAAAACTTAAATTTTACTAATGAAAGTTGTGTTAAAAAAGGGTTTGTAAACCTACTTGCTTTCGAACCGGACAACCAACAGCCATGGTGCATCGATAATAAGCACGAGGACAAGGATTTCCCTTTGCCATCTTTTGTCCATATTTTCTCCATTGACATCCATCGGTAATCTACATAACCAACCAACCAAATATATTTATTAGAAAACTATCGACGACAAAAACTCAGAGATTGATTCATGATTATGATGTTAATTACCATGGGAGCTTCCGATCTTGCACGAACGGAGACACGAGCTTTTCTCATGTTGGCCTCAGTGGTGGCTGATTGATGATCAATACCCTTAGATGAGCTATTATTATTCAGTTTCTGAGCCTTGTTAAGGCCCCAACCATCCGAATCTGGACTTTCGTCTCTTCCAAGTCTTTTACCAGAGTTGTGATCAAATGGGGCAATCTCTTCTTTCTCCACACTGTGATTGGACACAGCCTCTATATTTCTTGGAGGTGAGCCAGACCTTGTTCTTTCGTCGGATGACGAGTGAGATAATTCATCGGTTTCAAGGGTGGTGGGTGACGGGCCTAATTCAATGAACTGCCTTGGCACCATAGCGTCTTGTTTCTTCTTCTCCTCCGGCTTGGCTTCTACAATATTGAGACGTTGAGTTGACTCGGCTTCATGCTGCTGCTGTGCCATTAAAGTCACCAGGTGCATCTGCAGAGCATTGTAATTACCAGTGACTTGAGTAAGCATCTCCTTCAACCTCTGGTTTTCTACATTCATTCTTTGCAGCTCCACTTGCAACTTTGCCAACTGATAAAACAATCAGAATTCTTCAATGGGTAACTTTCTTTTATACACATACACCCGTACAAACATAGATACATATATGTATATGTGTATATATACACACACGTAATGGTTAGAAATTACCTCAGTGGTCTTAGCTCGCTTGTCTTCCATATCTGATAATCCTCCATCATCCACCGTTGACTGATCACTTCCAGTGTTAGTAGTTAACAGATGCAACCCAATCTTCAATGATAAATTAAACCCATAATTCAGTACTGATTTATTAATTAAACAGCATATAATTATATATACCCAAAAAATATAATTAAAACACTTACATTTACATCTCTAGCTCCGTCTTGATTATCATCAACGTGAGAACTGACGATCTCTTTCTTGATATTAGCACCTGGCACGGCGCCGTTACTTTTAACGCCATCGCGGTCAGATCCCGCGGCCCTCTGTTGCTTGCTGTGACGATGATCGGAGTTGAAGAAGTCAACCTCGTTGACGGACATCGGAGTGTCGCCGGAGGAGGACGTCGGCGGAGTCTGGCGGCGTTGGTCACGGCCGAGACTTACCGGGAACTGAGGAAACATATCGCGGATTGGTTTTTCGTCGGAGAAGAAAGAGCGCAGAGACGCAGGAGGAGACGGAGACGGCGGCGGTTTCTTGGTGGAAAAGAAAGGTGATGCTGCGGCGGCGGTGGTTAGGGGATCTGAAGAATCAAGAGTGAGAGTACCCCATCCTCTTTCCATGAATGAATCCGTGCAACCCAGAAAGAGAAAAACCCTAGAAGATCTAGAAAATTGAATGAGCAAGAAATCAAATAGATTCAGAGAAGAAGAAGAAGAAGAATAGGACGGATGAGGATGTAGGTGTGTGAAGTCTGTGAAGTCTTTTACCGGTGCAATGCCTTCGCCTATAAAAAGGGTTTGGACGTGGACCAAAGTTTTGGACTTTCTTTTCTTATTTATTTTATTTTTTTTCAAATTATTTATATTTGAAAATCTTTTTTCCCCTTGTTATTATATTTCACGTCATCTGGTGCGTCAGATGTCCAGCTGGCAAGTGGTCCCCACTTTATCGGGCGGATTTTAAGACTGGGTACTCTCCAGTCTCTAATAACCCGTTAGCAGCACCCACTTAATTAATTTCTTTTTTTTTTTTTCCTATTTTTTTTAATTGCATTACTGAAAATTAATTAAAAGAAAACAAATACGAGAAATAAAAATTAATTTTCAACAATTAACGATAATTAATAATTAATAATTAATAATGGGTAAATAATTTAAAGAGGATAAGGATAAAGTAATCGGATCCAAGTCGGGTCAAAGATGTGTTTGACAGGAGAGAAAGGGCGAGAAAAAAAGCAGTGGGTTTCGTCTTCATTTCGTCAAGAAATTCGTTTGACTCGTTCTTAAATCTAAAGAAAAATAAATAAATAAATAAATAAAAGAAAACGAACCCACCGCCCCGATTTGTGCGGCGGGTTCCACGTGATCAAACTTTTTTTAAAAAAATTAAATTTTATTAAATGAAATCCCCAAAATATTAAATTAAAATATTTTAAAAAAATAGAAATAAGAGAAGCCGAGTCAACGAATTTGACGGCCCGGCTCCTACTCTGTTTCTGTGTGTGGAGAGGGAAAGCGCGACCGGAGACCGGGTGGGACAGTAGACTGGTCTCGGCGTGGGGCCCACGTGGAGATGAAAATGAAACAGCACGTTTCGGATCCCGCCCTCCGGCTAGATTGTTGACTGTTCACCGGTGGGACCGGGTCGCTTGCTTTGACTTTTTGTTTTCCTGTTTCGTTCTAATAAAGTGTTTTTACTCATCTAGTTTCCTTTTTGATAATTTTTCGTATCAAATGAGTACTTTAATATTAAATGAAAATTCAAAATTTTTTAAAACATATATTATGTAAACATTAAAGTCCTACATATATTAACCATTTAAATTATAAAAAAATTAATAAATTAGCAAAATAATATAAAAAAATAAATTAATTTAAAGTCTGTAATTAACGTAATTATCTCTAATCCACTAAATAACTTTCTCTTCTTTTAATCTACACACACACACATATATATATATAGATAGATTTTCAACATCTTTTACTTTATTACTTTTGATTTTCATTTAACCTACTTTTGAAAATTGGTCTTGCTTAAGGTTAAAAACTAATGACTTTGAATATATTTATATAATAAATAAGTAAAATAAAATATTAGACGCTAAATTATAACGAAGAAAGTATTAAAAACTATATTTCATTATTTTTCTCATAACCCTTTTACTCGATCTATCAATATGCACTAGTTTCTATATATATATATAATAATTTATTGGTTTATGGATCATTATTAGCATATATATATATATGTTATGTTTATCAAATTTATAATTGAATATTTGAATAATCTATTATTTATTATTATTTTTTTGATGAATATATAATTTATTAATGATTATATAAAAAAAAAAATGGAGATATATTTATTATATAAATATAAATTTGAATTTAGAATTTATTTTATTTGATTAATTGTAGACAATACAATTTAGTTTTGGTCCCATATGATTGAAACATATATATGTATTAACTATTGATGTATGCTAGGGCATATAGAAGCATATATATATATATATATCCATACACACACAATAATAAATTAGTGGTTTTCAAATTTTCTTATTGATGATGAAAACTCACGAAGTCGAAATTAGAATCCAATAAAAAGTGGCCGGTTTACATGCATGCATGGGAATGGAGTTGTCTTATTAAGAAATTTGAAGGACGGTAACAAGAAAAAGTGGAGACTAGTTGGGTGCTTTCCTTTTCAAACCCTAAGCTCCCAAAAGTAAAGAAAAGGAAGCCCTATATATATACATACATATATATATATATGTATGTATGTATTATTACCACACGGAATAATATTATATAAGTCTTTATGTAACGTAAACTTAGCTCCATATTCGAAAAAGTTACAAGAATAGTTTTCTTGTTAGTCTCATACAATCATCACTAAAAAGTAACATATTCCAAAACGTGCATATATTTATAATATATATCTCTACATATATATATATATATATATATATATATATATCATTTTATAACTTTATTATCAGTACTGAGTTCTTTCAAAGTAATTATAAATTATATGCACGTAGTAGATAATTATAAGTTGGTTAATAACATTAAAACTTAACCTATACATATTTGATAAATATTCAAGAATTTATATATATATATATATGTATGTATGAATGTATATATAGTCGGCAAGTATATATAAATAAAAAAATAAAGTAATTAATTACATACCAAAACACGAAGAAAAAAAATGTCATGTGGTTGAAAAAAATAAATTGATAAGACCACCGACTTTATTTTATGTGTTGGAAAAAAAAAATTTGAGTAGTCAAACAAACTTCAAATTGCCAACTTTGCCAACTTGGATGTTTCAATTTTCACATGTTAAAATTTTCCTTCTAACATATATATATATATATAATGTGTGTGTTTATATATATACACGTATATATATATGTATACATATAGAGAGAGAGAGAGAGAGAGAGAGAGGGTGGTTAATGTATTGCTAGCTTATAGAGAAGAAATTAGTCAATAATTATAGATGGCATGCGGGAGACATTTACAATTTCTCATTAAATTGCATTTAGAGTCCTCTTGAAATTCAAAGAATTAAGACAAGTTCATGTTCATCCTTCGCTGTAAAGAACAATGACCTTTCTCAATCGGTCTTCCATTGCAGCTATATATATATATATATACATATATACATATATATAAATGTGTATGTACACACAAATCATAGTTATTTTGGGATTTTTTGATAATTTTATTTATTACTTAATTCACAAGATCTATTTGCTTACGTTTTCAAATCCGAATTTTATGGAGTTTTAATTAATTAATTAATTAATTATACTAATAAGACAATTATTATGGATTATTTAATGGGTCATTTCATTCAATGATTTATTTTATTTATATATATATATGTATATGTATAGGTATATATATATATAATATTATATAATCCGGGTGTAGGGGTTACTTAATTTCAATGAGAAAATTTGGTAAACTATGCTACACTAATTTGGAGAACTAATCAAATTTCTAAAAGTTGATTTTTAAAAGATACATAAAATTTATTATTTTAATTTTATGATAAAGAAGTCAAATTGAATATCTATCATAATTAAAACACTATAGTTGTTATAATATATATATATATATTTATAAAAAATTGTAATAACTTATTGAAACAAAACTCTTTTTAATTTTTTTTTTAAATG